GTGGCATCCACATTGAGCAGCGTGGTGCCACCCTTCTCCTCGACCTGCTTCTGCAGCTCTACGGCATCCGGGTATTTCCTGGCCGAATGGGCCAACCAATAGCCGATCGAAACTGGATGAATGTCTGTGCAAGAGAAGAAGTAGATATATTAAAGTTATATATACATGCAGTCTGCTTTAAAAAAGGGAGGACTATCTATACACCTCTAAGGGGCATCCTACCCATGTGCTATGATCAGATTTGTGTGCCGCGCCGGCATGGATAGTTTTTAGCCCTCCCCTGCTCCAGTCCCTCCGTTCTGGAGCCCAGTACCGTAGGCTGCGTTCTTTCTGCGAACACTTCCAAGACTCCGCTTCAAGGTCGCTTCACCATCAAAGGCACTGGCATAGATTCCGTCTCCTGGAAGCGCACAATGGGAACCACCACCACGACTGGAACCGCATGAGCAGCTAGCTTGGTTGATCTCTTGCTCTTCAACTCAGTGTTGAGGAACATGACACACACCCTTTCTTGCCATATTGTACCTTCCAATCCAATCTGCTACCTTCTAAAGGATTCTTGCAGCTGTGCCTGAACCGCGCACTTCACATAGGGCACGCGCAAAGCTAAAGTTGCCTCAGCCATGCTCCGCTTTTTCCGAGCCACGCCGAACGCCGCACGCTTCGGCGTGCGTGTCGAAGCGCGTCGGACCTAGCCGCGGTTCGTATTGCTTCGTCACCAGCCGGATCTCCCTAGTGAAGTTGGGTGGGATGTCCCAACAGCCAAGGCTTCTTTGTTGGAACGGATGCTTTGAATATGTGGTGCTTCTTCCCTCACACCCCCGCCTTCGCCCACCAACAGCACGCGGCCCGAACCGGCGTAAAGCTCGCGGTGCTGCCGCTGCTGATGCGCTTGCTGTCGCGCCTCCTGATGAGATCAGGAACGGCCACAAGGAATGAGACGTTGACCTGCATGTTCATTTGTAGGATTTTCAGCTGTGGGGGTGTCTATGTGACCCGTAGAACAAACCAAGTGCCTGACCATGCAGAGCACGCCAGGAAGGACTGTGATTTCTAGGGAATCAGGGAATGTCAATAAGAGCACCGGCTCGCCGTGCCAAGCGCGAGCGCTTCAAAGGAACCCTTTCCTGAAGAAAGTGAAGTCTTCTGGTCAGTCCGGGTGGCCGATGATGATCGTGCGGCACACCATTATGATGAGGAGATCAGCCCCACTGTCCAGGTTCCACTCGTCTTCCCACAAAATCATCGGACAAAGTGGAATTCCCCATCTTCCACCTGGCCCAGTCGCACCGGCACCACCTTAAACCTTCTTCAGTGTCGGGGAACCGACCTGCCACCCCCCACAAGTTGGCCACGTGCGTTGGCGCCGTGATGGCGTCGTGCCACGTTGGCGTGCCTTCTTGGCCAGCTTCTTCTCTTTTTGCGACCGTTGGGAGCTTTGCCCTGGCGACGTCGCAGGAGTGCGGTTCCAAGGCCCGACAGACGGTCCGGTTGACCCGGTTCGTCCATCCAACTGGTCCAAACGAGAGTGTATAGGGGGGGGTGTAGGGATGTGTTTTCCTGTAGGGATGGTGTTTTCCGGGTGAGTTCTTTCAGCACCAAATCCCTCCTGAACTGGAGTCTCAAGCCTGGACTTGGAGCTTCAGCTGCGCTCTCCACCTACGTGGCCCAAGAGGTCGTGTGGAGAGGTCGAAGAAATAAGAAGGATAGATGGCCTGTAGCCTCTGTAGGCCTACAAGTAGGCCTAGAGCAGATGGTATCAAACTCCGAAATATGATCTGTATTGACATCCAATAGAACTGGTAGGCAGCTTTGCACAACTCTGAACCTGCTGGAGCCCACCCGATCGGAAAGAAAAGCAGCGACCAGCATCCAGGGAGAAGGTTTTTCCTCGGCCAATCTGACACAAATATGTCGAAACCTCTTGGTGCAAAGGGAGCTTCTGGCCACAAAGAACATGCCAACCTCTTTGAGAGAACCCATGTTTCCTTTGAGTTTGAACGAAAGATCTGCCCGTAGGAAAAATGCCCTAAAGTGCCTATTTGGGTAGAGTCTAATGCACACAACATGTTGGGTAGTGTCACGCCTTTTTCGAGCTGCGTCGCGAGAAAGGCAAAAAAACTCTCCCGACTGCTCCCAACCTTCGCCCTTGCCCTCTTCGTCGTGACTTTGGCCTTCGCCAGGCCCTAAGGCTCGATCTCCAACAAAGATAGTAGCTTCTTGTTACTAGTAGCGATATGTAGTGATGGCCTCCAACCTAGTAGCGATGGCCTCCAACCTACTTGCGATGGCCTCCACCTAATAGCGTCCTGGTACTCATCGTGGATTCCAATGCAAAATAACCATTCACCATGACACCTCTTGTCTGACCACCGCAGATGTAGAAACAACATCAACACCCGGGTGAAACGTCCGGATGCTAGGAGTCGTGGACGAGGATGCTATGCGTCGAGGAAAAAGCCATCGAACGAAGCCTTCGTGGGGGTTTCACGTTGACTGGCTCCACCTCGGGTCGTTTCATCGGGGGGGAGGACCCCCGTGAGGTCGTTTCATTGGGCGCGGCCACAGGGGCCGTTTGACGGAGGGTCCTAAGAGTCGTCACAGATGTGCCAGTGACACCTGTGCCTGGTGACACTACGATCATCCTCAGGTTTGGAGTTGATCTTAGTGCCAAGTCGACCCAATTGGGATGGACCAGACTGAAGCTTTTTGGGACTATGTCCTCCCCAAGTCGTCCAGTTACTCAAAACCCTGTGCTGCCAGAGTACTTGGCTCATTCGCACCAACACTCCTGGTCACAGTGCCCTGACCAGGCAACCGACCCCCCTTTTTCAGGGGCGTCACCCCCAAAAGCTCTATGATCCATCGTTGATCATCGTTGCATACAAATGCAGAAGGCGGGAGCTCAGACAGACCTCCAAAACCAGCCCACCGACGTCCCGATGAAACAACAGCGGAAACTCTCTTGGCCCAGCCACGGCGGCCGCTTGGGCCGCCGCGGCCGCTTGCGCCGCGGCTTCCTGGCGTATGGCCTGCGTTCGTGACGCCCGCCGGCGGAGTCGTAGGAGCTCAAAAGGGAGTTGCAAATGCAAGAAGAAACAAAAGGCAGGCTTCAAAGAAAAGTGCCAAACGGGGCCTGTTTGATGACCAGGTGCGGTCTTTTGGGCCGCTCAACAAACTGAATAAGCTTCATGAATTTACGGTACACCAACAACATTCCTCGCATTCCTCAGGCAAGGAATCATGAAACCACCCTCCACAACCAGCTGCCGCGCTCAGGAGCCCAAAAAGGCCTTCTTCTGCCACTTTTTCAGTCCGGCCAAGGGATTTTCATCCCTGCCACCAGTGTCATCGTGCGCGGAAGCGCGTCTCTTCGCACGCGGGCGGGCATCGTGAAAGGCATGTTCTTCAGCAGTGTGTTGGGACAGTTCCCTGAGGCCACCAGACCAGCTGACCAGGGAGTGAATCGTATACCCAAGTTGCAATGTTGTTGGCCCCTCTTCGTGTGCTATGCACGGTGTGAAGACTATATAAAGCAGGCCCGCGTTTTCTATGCGGCTTGCGGGTGTCCTTACCCCAAACATTCCACCTCTGCACTGCTCAAGAAAAGAACATGCAGAACCACAATTGACTTTTAAAATGGATTGGTCTCAGTGGGAATCATCTGGCTTCGTTGAGAGGTGTTGTCGAGTTTTCTGCCTCTCTTCTTCTCGCTTGGCCTTTTGGGCTGCCTTTTGTCTTTTCCTGGGAGTCGAAAGCGAACAAAAGACCTCCAAAGAAAGGATCAAACAAACAACCAAAATGATGTTATATAGCCCTGCCAAACCTCAGTCTGGACGCTGTAGAAACGACTCTTAAGTTCCTTCTGCTTTAGCAGCAGAAATTCATCTTGTTGGAGGTTTCCACTCTACGTGTCCTCAAGCATAGACAAAGCCAAGCCCACCAAACACCCTATTTGTTTCCACAAAACAAACACCAAGAGGGCGCATGGGTAACACCTCCAGCCATCAAAGCCTCCAGCACCTCTGACATGTCTCGTCCTTCACCTCCAACAGACCTATCGACCCCACAACCAGATCCCAATCTCGATCTCCGCACCCCAAAACCATGCAAGTGGCTTTTCTTTGTCCTGTTTAAACTGTTTCTTCAAGCTGGACTTTTTTGGCTGAGCGCACCCCTTTCAGCAGCTTGTGCGCCATGGCAAAGCCAAGCACAAAGAGGGTATAGGTGTTCTTTGGCGTTGATTGGCGAGAACTGAAGTGTGTCCTTCCGAAAGGTTGCAAAGCTCGGGCCTCTTGTGTGAATAAACCCTGCACTTGTGTCTCTCCAAGTAAGGGATCTCCGATTCGGGCCCATGCCAGCTGAACCGGAGATCCTGAGAGGTCTGTTTGACATCCCTAAGTCACCACCCCAGGCCCTCCCCAGGTCCTCCCCAACCAGGTCCCACTTGACTTGGATTCAGTTGGATCTGGTGAAGTTGGAGGTTCAGCTTCATCACTTGGTGAAGTGTACCAAGACCAACCCAGATGAAAATCAGGGGCGAGGCGCGAAGCGTGAAGCTGGCCTCTGGGATTGAAGCTCTCTACCACAGGATTCACGGTTGAACTTCTTTATTTTGGGCTTGAGAAAGCCAGCTGCGGCACACCAGCGGAGTTCCAAGGTTTCTGGTAAAATACAAGGGTCACCGTGTCGCCAAGTCAAATGGTTGCAAGAATCTGCAACAATTTCGCGAATGTGCCGCTGTTCCACTCAGCAGCCAGTCAGGTCTTGCTGGGACATGTTGATGTGTCCATCCCATGCTTCATGCACAGCAACACAACAGGCGCGAGACGCTGCATAAGACCCTGTTGTCCCAGTTCCAGGTACCTAAGACTTACAAGATCTCTAGACCTCGCCCTCATCGTCCGACCAGACCTCACCCTCATACTACTGGTTGAAGATCGGTCTACTCCGCCCTGGACTCGGTCTGTCCAACTCCGCCCTGGACTCGGTCTGCCGACGTTTTCAGCTCCCAGACTCTGATCTCCTGAAGCCATCAGTGAGGTTTGAGGGAGCTCCAAAAGGCCCGCGGCTAAAACATGGGACATCCGTCGGACTTGAAAAAACACACCTGCCCTTTCTGGGCAAAAACACGTGCGAGTCTGCTTGAAGTTCCTTGTTCCGGATGCTAGGATGCTCTAATTCGTCCGATCGATGCCATCTTGCTGTGTCTGCTTTCGTTGGAACCGGACGCCTCTGACATCGCGAAGCACGCTTGTTGCACCCTCCCTCCGGTCCCCTTCTGCACCGCCAGAAACCACAAAGCGCACGTTGCTGGCTAATTTCACCTCGGAGGAATCAGAATGATGGCATATCGCTCAGCTCACGAAATGGTTCTGCGAGGGCAGATCAGCAGAGTCTGGCCAAACTGTGCCTTCCGGTGAAGAGATTGCACTTTTCCAGTTCAGTTTCTTTTCTATTCAGGGCCAGGATGACTACAAGTCCACACTTGCGATTGTACATATACATAATTGATCATAATGCTAAATTGACAAATCTAGATTCTATCTCCTTCTTTTTCTGGACACCCAAACTCTGTCAACTCCAGCTTCTTCTTTTCGCTTTGTGGCACCCGTTTTCTCCCCAAGCTCCTGCCATCCTCCTCCTTGACCCCGGTTGGGTGCTCGACAGATGTGGCACCACCTTTATGAGCGTTGTCGATGTGCCAAAGCTTTTGGCCTCAAAGGCTGTCGCCACGGGCGCCCGGTTTTTGGAGCTCAGAAATGATAGGGGACCTGGGAAACACAAAAAGACAGGGACTGAGAATGCACCGTGAATGACTGAGAATTTCTCTATCTGGAGAGTGGTGCAGGATGCCTTCCAAACAGTTCAGAAGCAAAGCGTCGACGAAAAAAGGGACCACTTTGGGATACTTGTGCAGCAAGGATTCCAGTGATGGAATTCAACCAGAGATTAAGCTACACTTCACACGTTACCGGCTCTTGGACCCAACCCGTTCGCGGTCGTTTTGACCCGAAACAACTAGGGGGTTTGGACTGAAACATGTAGCAGCAGGTTCGGGTCCATGAGCTGAAGGCACTTTAGACAGGCAAATACAACTGCAGGTCCATGCGCCACGTTCGTCCGCTGAGTTCTCGTTCGTCCGCTGAGTTCTCGTTGATTTGGGGCCCAGCTGCTGGAGTGGGGTAGTACGATCGCTCGAGTCGAGGGAGGGCCGGCATCCCAAGCCGTCGTCCTCTTCCTGCATCCAAGCCGCCCATGGAGCAATCCCAACACAAGAGACGCCCATCTGTGGCACCCGCCACCTTGGCTCTTCTTTCTGTTTCACGTTCTCACGCAAACGAGTGACTAGTAGTGACTAGGGCCATTGAGTGTTTTCCTGTCACGGCACTTGGGTTTGACCACCCCCATCTACACCAATATCAACTGATGCAGGCGATGTTCGCCCATCCCCTTGTGATCTTGGGCCTTCAGCTTCTGACCCTCATCCATATCAAAACAATGGTAAAGGCGTGAAGCAAGATCTTCCACACAGTGACACATCGTCCTGCAACCAAATATGCAAACTTATGGATGGGATGGCAACCTGGAACTCCCTAAGTCCTTCTTGTGAACATCTGCTGATACTTCTCAACGATCTGTCAAAATTTCATGTCTTCCTGAATGAGTCTTCAAGATGATCATGTGATCTTGAAAATTAAGGTCCGCCAAACTCTCTGGCGGCTGCTTTTCACTCACAACTCCTGCGGCTGCGCCCACGCTGCGCCCTCTCAGCTTGCAGCAAAAATATCTTCGGTGCCACACGCCGCCAACGGATATGCTCGCCTCAATCAGCTGGGCCGATGCGCATCCTTTGGTATTTGAGTTCACTTGTCCAATGAATTACATCAAACTCCGGGTGATGGGTCTGGTCTCAAACTGGTGAAAGGGGGGCTCGGGGTTTTGACCCGCCATGTTTGTTGGGTCTATCCGAGTCTACCTGTAACAGGGATGATGATGGTTAGGTTGCAGGCCTTGTTCAAAATAGTGATTTGCTTGTTTACTGACTGCTACAGGTAAGTTCGGACAGACCCTATGTATACGTGTCTGCTATATAGGACACACCCAACAAATTTGTATATCATACAGAAACCGTTTCATGGGGGCCACAGAGAGTTGATGGGGCGGATGGCATGCCGTTTCGACTGCACTCTGAATGGAAGAATTGACATCTGTACTGACCCCTATAGAAAGAAAACTAAGTCCCTTCGAAAACAGTCCTAGGACGGTTTCGATCGATTTGAGAAGCCCCAAATTCGGACTCCCAGCGACGCCGCTACCTCGATCGGGTAGCAAAAGGAAACCGTTGGAGAACGTCCAAATCCAGGTCCCTCACGATCACAGGGTGGTCGCTGTCAATGGATCGCTGTGGAACTGTGCTCCATCCGCATCGACCTGTCGAGGAACCCTCGACCTGATCCGCATCCGATCTGCTCCAACTGCTCCACCGATCGATGAGTCGACCGACCCCGGTGCGTCGACTGGGGCACCCGGGCGTGCCCACCGAGCACCGGAGCTTGGCGGTGTAGTCGTTCGCGTCCCAAAGGCTGGGCGGTCGACCGGTCCCGAGCGCTCACATCGGGTGGCGGTGAGGGCTGATGGCTTCGAGAAATGCAGAAAGGCCAGTCAGAGTGATGCACCAATCACATATATGTCTTTATAGTTATACTATATATATATATAAATATGTATATATATATATATATATGTGTATTTTTGTCTTGTATGTGTGTGTATGGATCGTCTATTTGACCACTCCAGTCGGACCGGAAGTGAAACCTCATGGTTTTCTCGCACACACACGTTGGGTCCGGGACCCAGATAAAACACCACGAGCTCAACGAGCTTCTTGGGTTGATGCTTGGGATCCTCTAACATGCTTGGAATCCACCCTTCCACCCTGATGATGTGATCATGCTGATGAATCAACCCCGAGATGGAGATGCAAGACCGCCAAACCATTCTGGTGATATTCTGATCCACAGTCTACATGATGTTGTGGATGAGGCTTTAAGGATTGTGACTCACCGGATCATCCACTGTCTTCAGAAAAGAACCATCTGATTCGCTCATCCCTCTACTTTCCTCATACGTCTTCCGCGACAGGTATCCCTATGTCTTCCGCGACCAATCCACCCCACACGCCGAACATGGCCCGCCCCCGCCCGCCCTCCGCGGCTTGCATCTCTCGGTCTCCGCACGTCACCAGACTATCCCCGGAGCAGGTGAGGAAGTGGTCCGAGATCTCAGCCGTCCGGTCGGGCTGCATCGGTCCACCCGGGTTCCGGTCCGACGGGGGGGCTGAGAATCGCACGTTGGCCAGGTGCGCAACGTCATACAAAGCACCGGGTGAGACCTGTCCACATTCTCTGAGTTTGTGTGCGTTGGATTACACACAGCCCATCAGTGAGCAGTGGCACAGGGCCCCATGGTAGCTGATTCAACTTACTCGTGTCATATAAATATATATATATATCGGTGTTCCATGTGTCACTGTGTTGTAATTACAACTCTCTAGCCTACATCAAACGTCAAACTTGTCTACATCCGTCCTGGGTGTAGTCACGGAAAACCATCTTTCATATACAAAACAGCGTTCAGGAAGTCTCAGCCAGCAAGCCAAGACAAAGGGAAGCACCAACAAAGAACTACAAGTTTCTTGGGGGGAATAAATAGAAGGAAGAAACGAAGCAATAAAGCTTGAGCTTTTAAGTGAAGCTTTTTTTTGGGAAAGCTCCATCACGGCCTGGCTGTGTGCAGTACGTTTCGGACACTGGATGGTGGGATGCTTCCGGCACCGCCTGGCTGTGTGGCTTCACTGAAAGGTCCTGGCGAACCGAAGAACCGAACCCAGTCCGGGACCGGGCCCTTTTCGACCAGGTCCCCCGGTTCGGGGCAGTCAATACGTGGCACAGATGGGGAGAAACATAGAAACCACCTGCGCCAATATCTGATGTTTTGGTGATTTTTGTGCCATCTGCTCTCAAGGAAACTGGGGATGTTCATCTATGTCTACACTGCGTGTATGCTTGTGTGCACGTCCTGTTGATTGGTATATAGAGACATGTCGAGAGTCTAGACTGCATGCAGTCTAGACATAGGCGTCTTACAGTCTAGTCTGCTCTGCCGGCAACATGCAGTAGTCACACGATCTGAACAGCCCAGCTCGGGAAATCGCTTGTGAGCTGGGATGCCTTTTGATCATTCGATGCCCAAATATCTCATCGGTAGTGGCCATGGCGGCTGCCTTGACGTCCATCACACTACCTATGTCCTTCAAACATGTTTGCTTTTCTTCACACCCTCGTTTTGAGGATCGAAACTCGGTCCGACCAGCTGAGCCACCAAAACGGTGGCATACCGATTCTTCCAACCAGTCGGGACTGGAAGAAAGGATGGTCCATTCGACTCTCGAAACGGTCCCGATGTGGGTCGAATCCAGCGGAAACGTTTCGGCAAACAGGGAACCCGAAACGGTGATTGCCCATGCGTTCGGTGAATTGAATCGATCTTAAACACCGCTGCTCAACATGGGTTGGTCGAAGAAAACAAGTTCCACAAGCAATATGGTGGCTTGTGGACGCTTCCCCGAAACAATCACGCACACGCGAAGTTCCCACATGTTGAAGTTAAAGGCCTTTGACTCGCCCCTATTGGCCCCTTCTTGTTTCTTACTCCGGCGTCGGACGAGCTAGGTTCCCAAGACCAAGACCACAAAAAAGAAGCTGAGCTCCAGCAACTGGAGCCTTGAAGCTGCTTATTATTCCGTTCTCATTCCTTCGCCTTGGAAGACGAAGGCCTTCGCCCGGTACCTACCAACCTCCCTCAAACGCCTTGGAGCGGATCATCGAGGCCGAGCCCAAGGTGGAGACCTCAGGGCGTTCGTAACGAAGGGCCGGTGGTTTTTGGTGGGTCCTTGGTTGCCAGATGTTTCCACCAAAAATTGGTGGTTTTTGTGGGCCATCTTTTGTCCACTTGCCTGGCAAAACTCTGAGGCCAAGTGACGCTTGAAAGTCAAAGCCTTCGGGCCCCTATGTATCATGGCTTGAAGGAACTCTCCACCAACATAAGATGCATATCAGCAAGTCACTGCGGCACCGTGGAACAACACTTCGACTAAGGCCATGGCAGCTAAGACCTCCAGCACAGACGAAACGACCCGAAAGGACCCGCGAAGAGCGTGCTGCGGCCCCCGCCCCCGGCGACCAAAAACCACCGTGTTTCACCGTCGACCAAAAACATCCAAGACACGGGCGCTCATGTCTGCCGAACTTGTTGTAACGAAGAGGACATGATTCAACAAGGGTATCGCTTTTGAGGGGGCCTAGTGCTTCTTCAGGTTTTAGCCAAATTCATAAAACTCAAGGTCGTTCTTTACTGAACTGGTTATCGTACGTTTTGGCGGTTGCTCATATCTTCTCTTATAATTCAGATTACCTGCCATACCTGTAGATACGGAGGAATAGTTCATTCAAGACCCTAGAACAGGCGTTTCTCCAGACCCATAAGTATCTATGTCGTTCCGAACACGGGCCAGGGGTCTTTGTGGAGAAAGCACCGGTTTTCTGTGCACCATGTGATCACAACGTTGAGCAAGAGGGAACGGCATTCAAAAAGCCACAACACATCATCGTCCAAGACGGCCTCACTCTGGTCGGGCGCCAAGGACAAGGAGCTCAAAGGGCCGTCCAGGCGAATCTGGCGCTCCTTTGCGGGGGGGAAAGGGGGAAGTCTCACAGGAGAAGTCTCAAAAGATCAGATACACCCCATGAAATGATCCATGGAAGTGGAGTGAAAGCCACCTGTTTTGTAGGAGAAAATGGTGTGCAAGGGGCCATGCCATCCACTCCTATGATGACTTTAGGGAGTGTAGATAATGCGTATGACTATACATGACTATACAATCACGAAAATGTCTGCCAGAGATGTGAATGTTGGTGCTTCCTATGACGGACTGTTCTTCCCAAAACTACTAATTACAAAAATACATCACATTTACAAAATGTATGTACAGTACTCCGACAAATCCTAATCGAACAAGTTACACACATGAACCGTTGGGAGCCTACACCTTGCTTTTCCCTCCCACGAACTTTCACGTGAGGACCGTGAGGGCACACTGCTCCGCTTGGGTGAAACGGAGAAAACCTTCGCTTCATGGCAGCCCGGTCTGGCTCTGAGCCAGCCAGGCTGGCGCTTCCTCTCTCATCCTCTTGGATTGGCTCCTTGGGACGGAGCAAAGGCTGCATGATTCACTACGGCTCCATGGCCCTTCAGTGTGCGTACACACTCGCCGCTCTGCACGTTCCAGATCTTCGTGGCACCATCCGACGCGGCGGTGACGATGTGCGACATGTCCGAGGAGAACTCGGCCGAGACCACGCCATTGCCATGCCCTGGGACCGACCGAGGTGGCCGGTCTATGGTGGTGAAATGAGTGGCCGGGGTAGCCGATGTTCATTGAATCAGAGTGATTTTTTCAAACGATCTATAAGCAAACATCACCAAGATCCAAGAAAAACAAGATAAAAATAAATAAATAAATAAATAAACAAAAAACATCTCCCCACTCCCCAGCCCCACTCCCCAGGCGCGCCTTGAAAGGTCTTGGCACACTTCCGGTTTTTCTTCTGCGTCAGCGACCAGAGTTTCACCGAACGGTCCCAGGACGCGGTCAAGAGCCAATTGGCATCGGGTGACAAGGTGGCTGAGGTGATGTAGGTGTGGTGACCCTTGAGGGTGTGCACGCATTGCCTTGGATGAAGGATGGATGAAGGAGAATTTTAAGGGATCTTCTTCCCATCGATGGAAGAATCTTCCCCCATGAAACGGATTCACCAGGGGAAACCAGGTGTGGAAGAAAAAGAGGACAACCTTGATTCGCCTGAAAAATCCCACCCAGCTGCTGCGTCTTAATGTTCCACAGCTTCGCGGTGCCTTCCTGCAAAGTCGACAGGGCCCAATTCTGCACGGGAGTGCTGAAGACAGAGACGATCACCTGGCGGTTCACTTCGACCAGTGGACCTACCAACGTTGACCGAACCACCCAAGAGAGGAGATATGACCTGAACCAGCGCTGGCTACCTCTGGGATGGTTTTTTTCGACGTCCCAACCACCTCCGTAGCATGGTGATGGTGGACCGCCCCAAAACCTCCCTCCGATCGCCCTGGTCGCCTCGCCCCGGGGCCGCGTTAAGGTCTGCACGCACTCCGCAGTTTGCAGGTCCCAGATCTTGGCACTGCGATCCACGCTGGCGGTCAAAATACTGAGCCCGTCGTGCGCGAAGATGGCGGAGACCACGCCGTCGTTGTGACCGGAGAAGGTCTTGATGCACTCGCCCGTGAGGACATACCAAAGCCGGGCCGTTCCATCATACGAGGCCGTGAGCACCAGATAGCCATCCTCCGAAAACACGGCGGTGTAGACGGCGTTGGTGTGTCCTTTGAAGATTTCCACCGGCTCTCCGGTCAGGGTGTTCCAGATCTTGGCCGTGCAATCACGCGCCGCGGTCAGGAGCGTACAGCCATCCGAGGAGAAGCAGGCGTGCCGGACGCCACTTTGGTGCCCACCAAGGGACTGGATCTGCTCACCGGTATTGGCGTCCCAAATCTTCACTCCGCCATCCACCGAAGTGGTGGCGAGCCACAAAATGTCTTGTACAATCAGCGTCAATCTAAGCTCCTCTGAAGAGGAGCTATGGCCAAACTCCCAAATTGAGTGGTCAATTGGGGATTTGTTTGCGAATCCCGTGAGGGTTTGGGGACAAATTCCAGCTTTGCTCCCCTCTCACGGTTTGACCTGCCTATGTCTCCTTCCATGTGGAGGGAGGCTTGCAGCAGGGGATTGCAGCAGGGGTATACGCATACCAGTATGCTTTGCTTAGGTCGAACATCCCACCTCTAACTCTGGTCCCTAAAAAGGACAAACCCAGTTATATAAATCCTAAACCATCCAAAACCATCCAAAACAATCAATCCTAAACCATCCGAACCCCATGTTCATTTGGCGCCTTGAAACTCACCCATCTCTTCGTTTCTTTTTTGCGCACCCGCAATCTCTCCTTGGTGAAGCCCAAATCCTGCAAGCGCCGCCGGGGGTCTAAGACGTCGCTCTCGAATAAGAGTCGTTGCCGGTACGCGGGCGCGCCCGTCAGGCGGAAGATCTCCTGCTGGATGTCCTGGAGATCGACGAAGATGGACCAGAGCCCATGGGTGGAACTGGGTTCGGAAGACCCCTGCCCCATGTTTGGCGAACGTCGAATCGGATTTTACATCGTTTTACTTGCTTCTTGCCGGGAGCAACTCGGAGGTCTCCCTAGTTGCAATTCTCACCCTGGAAAGAACATCAATGAATTAAATGGTATCAATATGTATCAATATCTGTCAATGCCCAAAAATAACGATCGTCGCGTCCGGACGACCAGTAGAACACTTCCCACAACCACAGTAACATGCACCTCCATGCACCTCCCACATGTGTCAACCATGGAGGGCCAACCATGAAAAAGAAAGCATGGCAGCAGCGACGTGACGTTCCTGGCGTTCGTCGATGGCATTTTTGTCGGGTCCTGTGCCGATTGACAGGGGTCCAATTCCAAGGAGGCGATCTCAGTGCCACTGGTTGCGTAGGTGACAAAGACCTTGATGTTGTTGTTCCACGGCATGGGGCGGGGCGGCAGGTGTTCCAAAGGCTCGAATTGATGGATGATCAACTGAGTTTCAACGAACCATCCAATGATACTAGTTGGAAATGCACAGATGATACTGGTTGTGGATCTACGTCTGCTTCTGGTGGTATACAGTGGTTGCATCAAGTTACATCCAGTCAATTTGCAGGCGTTTGGCTAGGTCTGTGTAGGGTGGGTGATACAAGCCGAGTCTGTCTGTTTTGGCTTTCTGGGCTTGTCTGTTCCCTCGTTCAACGGAAAGCCAAAAAGGCATAGAGCGTTGCGCTTGCGATACATTTTCAGCAACAGAATCTCTTGTGTGGTTTCCCAAACCATTCCAGAAGTGCTTGAACCACTGGGGATCTCGAATCTCAAGGCCTTTCCTTTACAGAATGTTCCTAAGTGCTAGGGCATACGGCTGCTTGTTTGACTCCAAACCACTGATATCTAAACGCCAAGAACGCCTCAAGGCCGCAATCGCGGACCTCAACCGAGGATGGGCACGTGTTATATAAGTGGTATTGGTAGAGTCTTGGTAGAGTGAGTCAAATCCCGATGGCAGCTGCCACAGAAGCTTCAAGAATCATGAGACGTAATTGCAATTCCTAGTGGCACGTTTCAGGAATTGGTTTAGGATGTTTAGGGAGCCGTAGACAAAAAGCTCTAATCTCAATGGTACAGCGAGGGCACACGAGTGTCACGAAGCATGAGCACTATCTGTCTAGTGGAAAATGCAAAAGAAAAAGACGAGATTCAGAGCGAGATAGGGACGAAATGGGCAGGGATGTCCAATGCTTATTCTAGGAGGAAAAGCTTCTCAAGAAATAGGCCACAAAGAACGATACTCAATGATGAACATGAACATCCAACACCAAAAATGCTCAACTAAGAGGCTCTTCAGGAAACATCCAACACCCAAAAAAACGCTCCCCGCTCTTCCGCACTCCCCCCCCCAAATGCACTCGTTTCCCATGCCCCATCCCTGTCCGACCCTCAAAGAAAACCTTCGAACACGCACGACATGTCCCCCCGACGCGTCGGTACACGCGGGTCGGAACGGTGGAAAGCCGGGCGGTGCCCACCTCGTGAAGCTCCAAGGCATTGGGACCCGCCAGGACCTCGTGGACCCGCTGGGTTGGTCCACCCGTGGGGGCACCGGGACGCCACCGGGTGGAGCGCATGACGCCGTTCACACGGCGCGGTCATCGGCGCTGTGGGTGTTGAGGTGCCACTTGTAAGGAAACCATGGAGGGACACTGTGATCACCAGTGACATGGTCATAGTCTTGGAAGGCAAGGTGATCATAATTGATCTTTGTCATTCCTTGTTTCTCTGCTTATACCTCCAAACGGTTCCATGATTTGCGAAAGATCAGGAAGGTCCCTGATCGTGTCATCCTTACGCCAAAAGAAGGCGAGCTTCGTCATTCTTCTTCGTTGGTGCATCCACTCGCCACGTTGGGAGCTGGCAGAATGTGAGGATTTGGAGTTTGATCTAGAAAGATGAGAACTGATACTCTTCGATCCAATCGTAGAATCGATTCCTTGGCCTAAAAGTTCTTCTTATGGAGACTTGTGAAACAAACAGTCTCAGCTTCCGAAGCTGCTTCTTTTTGATTCGACCAAGAGGCTGTCACAGTTCCATCGCCACCAGCTGCCACCTGGACGCGCACTTCTTTGGGAGGCGAAAAAACACACTAGCACATGGCTTTGGGAGAAGCACATGCCTCTCACCCCAGCAAAAAACACACCGAAAATCACATGACGGTGAAGTGATGTGCGGAAAAAAAACGCCGAACCGAAACGAAAAAAGAAACCACGTCGATCCGCTCGAGCTCGTTGGTGAAAACCTCCCCCATCGTCGAACCCAACACCTAACACTGCGCATCGAAGGGACGGTCCAAAAGGTCTAAAGAAGACAGGATAGGAAAGGTCTTTTCTAAAGAAAATGTATACTGTATGTATATATGCTATAGTAGTAGCAGTAGTAGTAGTAGTAGTAGTAGCAGTAGCAGTAGCAGTAGCAGCGTAGTGATAGTAGTAGCGGCTGTTGTAAAAGTAGTAGTCGTTGTAGTCGTAGTAGTCGTAGTACTAGTGGTGGTGGTGGTGGTAGTAGTAGTAGTATTAGTAGTAGTAGTAGCAGTAGCAGCGTAGTGATAGTAGTAGCGGCTGTTGTAAAAGTAGTAGTCGTTGTAGTCGTAGTAGTCGTAGTACTAGTGGTGGTAGTAGTAGTACTACTACTACTACCAAAAAAAGAAAACGACCGAAACGTCCTCAGCGCGGCACGAAACGGCTCCCAGACTCGACCAGCGTACAGACCTTGGAGCCCGCACGGACGGTCGCACAAGCTCGGGTCGTCCGACTGTGGACCAAGCGGGAAAGGAAAAAGGAAGGACCAAAACAGTTTTAAACATGGCCAAACTATGCCAAACGATATAAATCTTACTAAAGGTCCTTCTGTCCATTTGCTTCCGTGACCAGCTCACGTCTTGTTTGGAAGGAAGAGTGAATAGTGAATGTACCGACAAGATGCCCTCCAATGTACCCGTATAGCAGGGGGGTTCTCTATTAAAGTGCATGACGCAAAACCATCCCCTTACCTATGAGAACAAAGTCCTTGGACCATGGCTGCCAATCACCAGAGTCGTTGTGGTTCAAGTAAGCAGATTTTTGTGCTCGGGGTCAACATCCTGATTTTGTGGGCAAAAGCACTTTGGAGAATGGACCAGAAAATTGTAATGTCTTGCTGGCTGCTTTGGACTTGAGCATGTTGACTTGCTGTGTCGGCCTGCATGTCGATTTCACTCTTGTTTTTCTGCACGTCCCCTTTCCCATGTGGCCAATTCATTTCGCACCTTGTCCTGGATTTGTAGCCCTTGGTCCGCACCCCCCATCCACATTTATCAGGTCATGATCATGCATGGACATGACAAGAAAGGACATGTATAGAAGCGCAATGGTATTTGCTAGCAGCATTCATCAAGCGAATGAATCGAAGGTGGAATTAGGCTTGATTAAAGTCTTGCAAATCATCTTGCTCTAAATCATGATGCATGTGATGATGCAGGTCGAATGTGTAAACCCTTTAAATTGTCTTGTGTTACAACATGTGAATCATATTGAATCATGATGCGTCTATTTAAATCTTGCTTGAACAAAAGAAGTTGGATGGTCATTCTTCCAAAGGGTTTGCTTAAAGAGCTTTCAGGCTCCTTTCAATTCACCAAAGGCTCTTTTTTCATGGCAGAGATGGCCACCAAATCTCATGGGTGACCGGATCCAAACCCGTCCCGGACGGGGGAGTTGAGGGGAGCTTTGTTGGACCAAAGAACGAGCGAGGCAAAGTCTGCCTTCTCTCGCTTTCAACATACTTATAGTAACATATAGTGTGTGTGTATATATATATATACATATGTACTGTATATAGAGCCCCAAATAGATAGAAAAGATCCCCACTCAAAATGTCGTGGAAACCGTGCCACTATCTATTGGGGACCCCTTGCATGAGTACCGTGATCTTTGAATCTTGTAAGCGAACACAACCTCGGATGACCCGGCGCAACGCCCGAACCATCGGTCGCACGCTCGGACCGGCGGCGAACGCCCCCGGGTGCGGGGGCGAGGTTGACCACGCCGCCGCCGCAGACCGCGATGAAGGTTTGCACCTCAGACGTGATCCGCGGGGGTTCAGGTGGAGACCCGGGAGAGAGGGACACCTCGACGGGCTGCCGGGTTTCGACAAGGAAGACATCCCGAACTTCTGGAAAAGCGGTTCATGTTCCGTGTGGTGAACCAGGATATACCAGCAGATCTGGATCTGAATTGACAGACCTGGATTGATGAGTATCATAATGTATAATATTCTGCAGATGTAAACCGGTGATTTACCTGGATTGTTTTATGACTGTAGTTGTTGGAGTGCTGTCTTTCTGAATTGGAAAGTCTTTGGAGTTCTTTTGGGTTATGAAGTTCACCATTGAGGTTGATCTCCAATCCTCTCGTTTCAGCTCGACCCGATCTAATGGTTGATCTGGGGAGGCCAAGCAGCTGCCATTTTAGGGAATCGAGGACAGGTGGCGAAAATCTAGATGAGACGTATGAACCTAAGGACTGTTCACGCCGAAGCTGACACTTGTGATTCAAAACAAAATAAAACCGTCCAAAAACGCAGCTCAGCTGGGACGGGCTTGCCTGGCAAACGATTTTGAACATCTACTGTATGGATTCAAAACGAACGCCGCAATTCTTGTGGCCGTGGTTCTCTCGAAAAAGGTCTGGTCTTCTCAGCCTGCGGCCACTCGATTCTTCATGAGAACCACGGCCACATCGCCAGTCGTCGTGCCTCGCGAAAATCATGTAAGAAAACACGGGAAGGGCGGAAGGGTCCTAGCAGCTCCTAGCATAACAACCTAGAGGTTGTGGGTTTAGAAGATTAGGACTTCCTCCTTCAGGTCGGTCGCTAAGTTTTGCGGAGGATAGATGGTGAGTCCAGACGTGTTCAAGATCTTGCTCAACAACACCACAGGGATGCTGATCATCACCTGTGGTCCAAATCAATTTCAGCACTCCGGTTTTCTCGCTTCCTAAGGTCGTCTCAAGGCAATGGTAGCTCTCCAGACACAGAATCATATCATATCATATATCATACATATACATATAATACATATTATATATATATATATTCATAGCAGTTTCGACATGTTCAGCATACCAGTAGTAATGGTTAATTACCTAGTTCCAATCACGTCAAAAGTCCCACAACTCCTCAGGGGTCTCTAGGGTCTCCAGGTGTTTGTCGCCAGGCTGCCGGTGGCAGATGTTGCTAGGCTGCCAGGCACCAGGGCGTTGTCACCCAAAAAGAACAGCCAACCAACCTACCTACCATACCAGCCATTCAAGTTACAACCAAGCCAGCTACCCAACCGACCAACCAGGACAATGACAACAACACCTCTTGAGTCCCAAACAAGACACCACGACTCGACCCTGCGACGAACCTCGAGAGCTCTGTGTTTGGGCCTGCCAGGAGGTACTCCGCGTCCTGTGTGAAGGCGAGACCTAGGAGCAGCACATCCTGGAAGACCTGGGACCTCCACTGACTTGGGTCATTTAAACATCCAAACTCCCGGGCCCTACCCCCACGTGGACCCAGGGACGCGCATCCGAATAGAGATGTGATGCGCTTGGAGTTTGGATGATGCAAACTACCGCGGCGCTGAGGGCAGGACAAATGTATTCTCGAACCTGTTTGAAGGCATTCCCTACCTGCATCAAAGGATGTGAAAGGAACAATCGGAGGCTATCGGTCAAATCCATCCGCCAGCCGTGGATCTGTTTTCGCTCACGCACTCCCCTTTGCGTCTGGGTTCCTCATCATTGACGGCTTCTGTGCTACGCAGGTCGGCACACACCCACCTCCCAGACTCTCCAGACTCTCGTCCCGAGTGGCGTCCCATGGTCCCCGGGTGGACTGGGAGAAGTGTCCACCCGGCCCCGTCAACGGAACTCGCCTGATGAGGTTGAAGTTCCCCACGCACGGGATCCAAATGCCACATGCAGATGTTCTTTCCTGACAACGTGAGTCAACAGAAATTCTGATGATGCCGCATGACTTGAAAGGGAGATTAGATTCAACTAGCTTTTGGAACACATGGACCAAAATCAAAAAAATGGAACATACAAAAACTCAAGGCCCAAAGCAATTAAGACATGCATGGGTCAAACCCGTTCGTCAAACCGGCCTCCGCAAGCAGCATACTGGTACTCATGCGTATCTCGACCTCACAGGTCGCTCGGTCCCACTCGGTCGCACGGAACGGTTGAACCGCACAGAATGGAAAGTTGATTCAATAGCCTCGTTCCATCATGCTTCCGAAATCTGGAGACTGGAGACTCTTTGGCGCACCAACGGGGTGAGGAAAAAGACATAAAAAGACCCGGCTCGCATTTCGGAGTGAAGCGGCCAAGGCGGCCAAAGACTTACCAAAACCACCGCACTGGGCACAGCTAAGCTCGTCTTGACATGCGAACTTGGGACGTGCACTCCCTCGACCGCCGACCGGAGGCCGAAAGGTGGCTTTTCCGAGATCAGGCGCCCGCACGCTTGATATCCCGCACCATGCCACCACCAAGGACGCAAAGGGTGGGCTTGGGCGTCAGGGCCGCCCATGCCACGATGAGGCCTCGCCGTCTGGGATGGAATTTGGGTTGATGGGATGTAGAAACTCCTCCACCCTTGTAGGGTTGGCATCTGCCTGGGACATGGCGTCCTTTGTGGCCGGCAGGCTTGCTGTTTGTCGAACAGCAATTCAAACAATCAAGACCCTTTAGGATTCCAAGGTCATCCAGTTTCCCTTCACCCAAGTTTCTTGCGCATCACCATGTCTTGGTCTTTTGGCACCCCCCCACTGTCTGTTGTCGTGTTGTCGCCGTGGTCTCTTCGCGGTGCGACCCGCGATCGGTTCAGTGAGCCCTGGCAGCTATTGGTGTCATACACGAAGACGCGTTGGTCCACAATGTCACCGCCTCAGGGGCGACACTTTCGGCAGTTTAAAGGAAGCTGCAGAGTTTGCTTGGCCAAACCATCCAGCTGGGTGTTTCGTGACGAGACAGCCATTGAATCTCAAGCTTGACAGTCTCCAGCAGATCCAACTCAAAATGCACGATTCCTTAGCCTTTTTGGCCCCCCACGAGAGAAACGAGACAGGCACAAACTCATTGATCTGGACAGCAGTGCAAACACTTGTGCACAATCTCTAAGATCTGCCCATGATTTCGGCACGCTGAGGAATTCCCAGTGCGATTAACAGACTCCACCAACACCCAGATAAAAATCTCTGCAATTTGCCCCACCGATCTTGGTGATTCTTATTTTCTGGATACCCTTATGTCCGCAAAACAGAGCTTCCTGAGAACCCGAACAGGAGATGAGAAATCGGTCGTCGTGGGAGAAGGCTAAGGCGTCGATGCCATGATCCTGCTCCTGAAGAACCGCGAAAACGAGCAAAGACGGCGGCCGTTTGATGGGAAAAAGGGGACATCGACTGATTGGAAGATTGGAACTCTTACTAACTGATTCCAATGACGGGCCTACGTCTTGCTGGACCTACTAAATGGATTCCTCTCGGGTCATGCTGGGCACATGAATGGTTGGCATCTGAACCTGTGGCTTTCTTCGATGCATCTCAAGGCATGACCCTTGGCCGCCCTGAAAAGAAGGCTCAGATGACTCAGATGAGCCACTGTGCTGTCCTGAAAACAACTCAGCTGCGTCTTTCCTTCAAAACCTGAGCAACGAAAGCCTTTCGAAACAGTTCCACAGCAAACTGAAACTTGGTGACTCGCTTTGTGTGTCTAAGTTCCACTCAAACCAAACCCTCCATATCCTGCAAGTCTTATTTCGACACAAAAACCATTGAGTCGACTCAATCCGTTCCGTTGCATCGACATCGACTCCCCAAGTGGCCCTGCTCCACAAAATGACGTCGGCGTTATCGCCCTGTTGACCCGTGGCGAACATCTGTCCATTGTGGGAGACCTGGCCCAGCGGTGTTGCACGAGAGAGAGGCACGAGCCGCGTTCAGGCGGTGTCCGGCGCCACAAGGTGTCCACCCTTGTGCCAAGTATACATATGCGTGTACACCTCTATGTTGGTTGAAACCCGTGTGTGAACTCTGTCAACATAGAGTTTCCCCATGCGAGTTTGTTGGTGCTCCACCGACTTTAAACATCTTTAGACATCCAAGTGCTGAAGCCCAACACTTCAAACATATGTTTTGTTCCACTTGTGCAACCTCTGCCATGCACCAAAACCACATCATACCACCTTGCCGGTGGCCCAACACCACGGGTTCCGCACCGCCAAGCAGGTCACGAAGTCATCGTGGCCTTGGCAGAAGACCTGGCAGACTGGATGTCCAGGTCCAGTGCATCATCCGGCCAAGCAGGGTGAAGAACTTCGGTGCTTGTTCATGAAAGAGGTCCAAAGAAAAGGGGTGCTGCCAATTCTAGGTGCTGCCATGGAGCTCGCCGGATACCACATGGAGCTCTGGTGGGAAGTTCTCTCGAAAACTGGATGGGGCGGGCGGTGGAAACTTTCTACTCAAGACTACCAGGAGTGGTTTGGGGCACACATAAGCTTGAGAGTCATGTTGTGTGTACACTTGGAAAAAGAGCCAATCTTGCTACTGTAAGTGCAAATGAACATGGTTCTCCTTCGCCGAGTTTTCAAGACATCCACCCCAGATACCTGGCTTTGTTGCAAATCTGTTCGCTTTGGTGTACCTGTGCAAGGAGGGGTTCAGGATTTGGCAGTGACTTAGTACCTGCACATCCACTGCTACTCCACTGGCAAAGGCTCGTCCCACAGCCACAACTGCCGCGTTGCCGCAGGGCCTGGGCATGTGGATCCTTCCTCGGTGCACCACAGAAGGTGCCAAACTCGTTGGAGATCGGAATGCTTGCTTGAGGACACCCACAAAGATTATCAGTGCACTTGGTGGTTGACTAGTGACTAGTGCCAGTTCAACATGATCAACAAAAAAATCAATGCTAGGCCAGGGTGCTCTCAGTTTTTGTGATGCATCAAACAAATTGAAACAGTAAGCCGTTGCACCTGCTTTTGCGGGGTGTGACAAACAAATTACTGTGTATATACTGGGTGGGAATTGTGGTCCTGTGGTGCTTGAGGGTATAGAGACAGCCCGGCACGCCTTTTTGTAGCCTGCAACGCCTTAGGGCTACTACATGGTAATATGTGCTGTGTCTGTTTATACATAAATATGTATATATACCCGTCTGTTTGCAGTGCTTTGTAAACTCTTCCACCCCAAAAAGCAGCTGCTCCCATATTCTCGTCACGGGGTACCTCATCTGAGTTTCCAGCAGATCACCGATGATCACGACCTGAGTTTCCGCATTCCGTCACCCGTCATGCTGGGGCCGGACCGTGTTCGACCGTTTGTTCGGCGAAGGTGCCTCTTGTCTCCAGGGGTGCCATCATTTGCCATCCAAAAAATTATGGCTTGGTACATTACTACACTACAGGCGCACAAAAAGAAGGTAGTTCGACTATGGGGTGGTCATGCATCTGAACATTCCCAAGCCCCTGGTCCTCCAAGATGTCAATGGAAGAATAGACATACGTCTACACCTGCGGTAGGACCGGGCATCTCACCTCATGGGACTTCTTGGGCTTCGCCCGGTGAGCGATCTCGGTGTCCCTGAGTGGTAACGGTGTTTCCTGTTCAACAAGTGGGGCATGATTTGCATGGATGTTTCATGCACCCAGCGAAGCGCGCCTGACCAAGCACCTGAGTCGCTCCGTGGTTCATGCTGGCCAAACCTCGAAAACCATGGGGCAATGGTCTGGATTCAGAGCCCAGGTACTTCGTCGATCCACCAACCTGTGCCACCCTGCTGCCCTGTGTCACCCCATTGGGATCCCCGACTCCACCCACTGCCTTCAAATAGTCTTTCCCATTTGGATGGATGTGGCAGATCCGCTTGAATCTGGCCGAGGACGATTCATCGCCCGAGCACGGAGGCAAGGGAGCACGGTGTGTCGACTCCACCGAGTCTGTGGGCACGTCAGGCGGCGAGGTTGGCCCTTCCATCGCCCTCCATGTTGCGACCTTCACTGACCGTGACCGTGCTTAAGATCGATCCCGAGTGTCACATGATCGAGGCCCAGAGGCCTGGGTCACATGATGTAGAGACTCCGGAGGGTCACGCATCTGTGCCTTCATACGACGCACCGTGTTCTATCCACAGGGGATCTGTTTTTGTGTCTTCAATGGGGTTCAGTACAGCACCAGATGCCGGACGGAGTCCAAGGAAGTCCTTGACAAAGAGTTGGCAGGGCAAACATCTTCGACCAAAAGAACCTCTTTGGAAACCGGAGCAGTCGGGCAGATCGGGCGGGCGCCGGAAGGGGGGTTTCTTTGGGGCATCTCCCTAAAAAGCATCCAAAATAGCGCTCCCACTTGACTTGTTCCATGATCTCAGGTGATTCTATTTCTTTGTTCGATCATATCCAATCCGAACTGTTTCACTTCCTGACAGAGGCTAAGAATGGATGCCTTCCCCGAGTCTCCACGGCAATAAACATGCCATTGGCCACTCCACATTGCAGCCGATCGCATGCTCCAGCTCTATAGACATCACATGCGAGGAAAAAGGCGAGCGACTAGCGCTCCTTCCAAACTACGCGGGGTAACAAAAAAGGCTCTGAGTTTGGCTGACTTGTGCCCCGGTTGTTCTGGCGCTGTGGGCTGTTGTTCTGACAAACTGCTAGCCAAAAAAATCGTTCTCGTTCTTTCGAGTTTGCTTCCCAGGTGTCAAAGGCACTTGAATGCCATGGTGCCTGTGAATGTTCCATGTGGTGGCCTGTGCCGCTACCTGCATTCATTTGCCTAATCATTAGCTCATCATGTTTGTGCGCTGTTTCGCCCAATCATGCTCCCACTCTGGCAGCGCCTGTGTATCCGAAATGGCAGCGCGATGGCACCACAAACCCTGTTCACAAGGCCTCGCCTGATTAAGCTTGCAGACTGTAGACTAGGTAGAGCAACTACACTGTTTGACAAACCTAAGATTTTAACACAAACAACCCTGCTAGCCAAAGCCGCATTTTGAGGGACGCCCACAGCGCTCCCACCTGCCCATCTGGCAGCTCTAAGCAGACAGGGGTGTGGATCACAGGTCCCAGTTCTGTCTTTGTGCATTGGGCATGCAACATCATTGTCAACCACTGCAAGGTGAAATGACCCATACCCACATCATGTCCCTGTCGAACGGCAATGGGCCGCGCTTGGCACCTTTGAAGGCGAAATGTTCCTCCAAAAGGAGACGTCAAGGGAGTTGGCCCGAGCTCAACGCAGCATTCCAAGAGAGAGACCTTTGCAATGTCACTCGTAGATTCGACTGCTTTGCTAGAGAAATCTGCATCCATAGCTTCAAACCCGTCCAAACTAATGTCTTAGAACGGAGAACATACACAGGGTATGTGCACGAACCCATCTCAAAGTCCGTTCTTCCAATCACCTTCCCACTCGGGTAACTGTACTTATATGTTATAAACTATCCACAGGTGACACTCAAGCCATCTCCCAGTGCACCATTGCGCCTGCCAGCTCAGTGGACGAGCTTGCCCCGTCCGACAGCGAGCTGGTTCCAAATTCCCCAGGTGCCATAGTTTGGCATGAAATTCAAGTTTCTTAAAAGACCGTTGTTTGGGAGTCTGTTCCCGAACAACGGTGTGCTGTCGCCCGCGAAGGGACTTCCCCAGCCCACGTCGGCGCTCAAGAATTGAAGATGGGCGCCTGGCTGGGCTGGGATATGAGAAACATACATGGGTGCGCTGGGGTGGAAGTTGGCATAGCTCAGCCAGCCACCCAACTTCCCATCTCCACATTGCAGCCCAAGTTGGAATTTCCAGCTCAAATTTGGAATCAAATTGAGTTCTCTTGGCGCAAGTTCGGCTTTGAAGCCGGGTGATTTTTCTGGTCCATTAGGTTTGCCCCTTGATCCGGGTCACCCCCTCCCTCCCTCAGTTGGAATACGAACAGACAGTTGCTTGAACATGTTCTTCGAGGGATTTCGCATAACACTTCAGTCTCACCTTTGAACTGGCTCAAGTCACAGCAAAAGTCCGATGCGTTGCATTTCGATTCGACACGCACAAATCGAGAAGTGTATTCACACTCATAGATACATAGAGAAGTATCCCTACCTCCTTTGTTTTTGGTTCGCTGCCGAACTTTGGTAGCGGAGCCGATTTGTTTGCTCCTCCGCACCAGCTCAGGTATTGCATCTTTGCCACAGCATTCGCACCATTGCCTTTGAGTTCGGCACTCGCTCGCTTTGCTGCACCATTGCTACTACATCACTTCCACCTCCACGACCACAACACACCACTTTGCTTTGTTTCGGAATGACGGAATCTACAGTGTCTTCGCAGCTTCCCTTGCAAGACTAGAGCAAGGATGCGCCGCCCGGCTGGCAACCCAGGTCCTATACTCGATTGCCAGGTGGAAAGAGCTTTTGTCCATCTGGCTTCGCCTCACCCGTCTGGGCCCAGGGCAGCTTGGAGCCGCTATCATCAGCAGATTGGAAGGATGCGTGTGGCAGACTGACATGAACCTTGCGATTGTTCGACAAGTTCAACAGCCAAATGGCACTGTTGTGCCAATCACCTACCGAGGAGTTGAAGCCGCGTCTCACTCAGACAACAGCCATATAGAAAGCTACCACAGGGGCCACTATTGCGCCTGCATCCGCCAGGAGCCAAGTCATTGGTTGACCTCTTCGTGACTCAGTTCTGGATGAATGACCAAGACAGAGCCTGCAATTCCTTAGAGGCCTTCTTCTCCACTCGACAACAGCCAGGAGATGCCTTCTTCTCCACTCGACAACAGCCAGGAGAACCGTTTGATGAGTTTCTCCCGATGGGACCGCCTGTATGTTGAGAGATCACTGACTTGCGCCTCCGTGTGGGCGGCGATCTAAGTTGCTACAGAGAGATGGTGACCTGGCAGACAGCCGTAGCCAGGATGTCATCAAAGACCAAGCTCAAGGCTATCGCCACTTCGTGGCCCAGGCACGTACCATCTCCATGAGTTCTAGGAGCAGGACGACTGGCCCACCTATGACTGGTGGTGTGATGATGACTGGGACTACAACGCCGATCTCAGCTACTATAGAGGTGGTCTTCTGATGAATGGACCGACTGGCCCCACCTGACCTCTATGTCCACTGCACCGAGGAAAGAAGGGCAAATCCAAACAGCCGGTTGGCTCTCAGCGCACGAATTGTGGTTCGAAGTTTCATCGTCCCTTGTCTCCAGTTCCTACATCTCAATAAGATGCATCTCATCACGCCGACATCTCAGAGGACTACACGTGGTCTAGCGAGCTATACGGCGGCAAGGGCTTCGGCAAGGGCTCCTTCCCTCGTCCACGTGGCTTTGCCCCTCGAAGTCCACAAATGCCAGGTCATTGGAAAGGAAAAGGAAAGAACCAGGAAAGGCCTATGGCAAGAAAGGCAAAAGCAAGGGCAAGTCAAGAGAAGGAAAGAGTTTGTATGAGGACTACAGCGACTACTACGACCCTGACTCCTCTCTCCTTCGCCCTCGCCCAAGCACAAGAAAGGAAACGATTCCGCTGAACCAGAGCGCAAGAGACAAATGTGCAATGCGATCGGTTCGATCTTTGGGGCCTCGAGCTCATCATACACTGGAGCACTACAACCGTCTGCGCCTGTTTCCTACATCAGCAGAACAACCTTTGTTGGCTTCTCATCGTGCTTCTTCCTCCTCTATGCCAGAGGTCTCTTTCTCATTGCCTGAGACCTTGTTTGTGCGCAGAGCAGCCAGATCGCCGGAGAAGGCAGCAGAGGCTAGCGTTGACCACTCTTCCTTGCCCAGCTCTACTGGCTTCCGGACTATGTTTGATCAAAGCACAGCTCTCAAGGACCACGAGCTGTTCTCCAGCCCTATGACAGCCTTCTATCGCTTCCAAGCTCATTCCTACCACACCCAGATGCTCTGAGTGCAAAACAGCATTACCACATGCGAAGCCCCAGTTCTACCGCCTGAACTGCAACATCCAGCTTTGTGCCTACTGTCATGGGCGACATGGATGTTCTCTAGCTTCTGATGCTAGCTGGTCACGAGTGTCTACCTCTCCACCTCAGTTCTCTCCGTCTGTGACTGTCCAGCCACTAGCAAGTTCAACGACGACTCCAGCAGAAGAGAACGCATGCTATTTCCTACCTCGACTATCCAGCAGAAACGACGCTGACAGTCTCTACAGATGAACCTGATCACAGTGATCAGCAACTGGAAGCCTCCCTGACAGGTCATGAACCTTCATCCACCGCTACACAGCTTCCATGCAGTGTCTTCCAGTCCGTTCATGGAACCAGACGCTACGGCTTGATTGTTGATCCTGGCGCCTCCAAGGGTCTCATGTGAGACAAGACCTTTCAGCAGATCAAGCACAATGTGCTCGTTCCACTTGGACCACAACACCAAGTCACATGGGCCACAAGCAAGCACAAGTTCACAGGCATCAACAGCAGGGTAGAGCGCTCGTTGGGATTCCTCACTTTTCCCACCAGCTCGCCAAGCATTCCTCATGCTCAGTTCACCACCGATGTGATTCCAGGAGACTGTCCAGGCCTTCTACCACTCAGCTCTCTCCGCAAGTCAAAGAGCATCCTCCTCTCCGAGTACTTTGCCAATGGCAATGGCCTACTGATCATCTCCATCTTCAATGGCTCCTGTCGTGAATGGATTCCGCAAGCGCTGGAGCTCAAAGACTCTGGTCACTATACCTCCTGGCCATTGACAAGTTTGGTGAATCAGTTCCTCGCAGCCTTTCGTACCAGAGCCGCAAGCTGGACTTGTCACCTTGACACCTCTCGCTCCGATATTCGAGACTCAGCAGTCAACTTCCACGCAACTTATGTCAAGCATATGTTCCAGCAAGAAGACCCAGAGGATGATCTGATTTCTCAGTGAGTCCTGAGCACGACGTCAAAACGCTGACCATTTCCACTACAGATACAACCTTTTTGCACTACCACTGCAACCTCACTCAGCACAACCTCTTTACCACAACAGCAGCAGCAGCAGCCACACGACACCACCACGACTGAGAATGCCGACATAGAGCATTCCAATGTTAATGCCATGCCACTGACTTCTTCCTGCACGCTGCTAGGTTCCTCTAGCCGTTTGCAGCAAGCTCTCTTTGCCTGCTGGACCACCATTGAAGGCTACCGAATACCAGAAGCATCATCACGCTACAGAATGTGATACAGTTCCTTGCATCCTTAGGTTCCTGGAGCTTCGAGCCCGTCTCACTCTTTCGCATGCTTTCAGGATCAACCCGCCTTGCACTCACAGCATCACGGCCTCCGTTCTCCACGCTGGTCCTCCCTCCGTTGGACCTACGTTATGGCTGGCATTTGGGCCACAAGCCTCATCAAGAACTCGTACGACAGATGAATCACTTCTTCAAGCCTGGAGAACCTCGCTGCAAGTACTGGTCCGGTTCTGGAGTCAGAAGAGACAAAGCTACTACCGAGCTCCGAAGACGAGAAGAAAGACCAGCCTTGGACTTCAACACAGAAGTGATGGTACATCAGGCTAAAGCTGG